TATTGAGGTCTTGAAATAATATGCGTAGCTCGGGGAGTGAAAGTGCGGAGTGGTACACGTGGTGGATCAGATGGAGCATTCAAGAAATTGACATTGCTCTTTCACTACTACATATATAGCCTTTCACGATTGTTATTTTATGGCACATATTACTGATTATTATATATATTTAATCTACATTTGGATTGTTTATTTCTTCCTTGATTTTGGCAGCGTCTTGATATTATATGAGAAATTGGGTGCACGGGGTGTTGTATATATTAGCTAAATAGCGTGGCATATTTTATTTATTGTTTTGTTAAGTGAATTGGTTTGTCACTTTGTGCTTGCTGCTTTAATATGCATTGTTTATATTGCCACAAAATATCTGATACTCAATATCTAGTCACACATTATTGTAGCTAGTTGAATAGTTCCAATTCCCTCTCCCATTCTCCATAATGTTAAAACCTGTTTGTAATGGCTGTAGTAGGTGAGTTCATGTAAAAAATCCCCCTCTCTTTACTACATGAGAGATGTTTTGACAAAAACAATGCATAATATGTTTAGGGCAGACAAGAAAAAGTAAAAGGCATACATTGTGGAACTGAAACATCTCAAAACTAAAACTAAAGTGCTCTCGGACTCAAGGGGGTAAAGGGGCTCAGGGACACAAATGGTTACAAACACATCAGAAATTGTATTTAATTTATTGTTTAGATCAGCTATGGTGCAACAGATCCTCGTTTAACCAATAAACAAGTCTACCCGTCATTCTTCCAAACACTGCCCAGTGATCAGATACAGTATCTGGCAATTGTGAAGCTACTGAACCACTTTGGCTGGACATGGATTGGTATTATTACAACTGATGATGATGTTGGAGAGATACAAAGTCTGGAGCTCATCAAACAGGCTGCTAAACATGGCATTTGCATTGAGTATACTATTAAATTACCACCTGGTCACACCAAGAAAGGATACTATATATCAGATGTAAGAAATGAAATTTTCAATAATTCAACCTCTACTGTTGTTGTGCTTTGTGGCTCCATTTCATTTGCCATGGGGCATTTCATTGAAACACTTTGCACGGTTGGCCATAAGAAGACAATAATTACTCCAGCAACTCCACTTCCTCACCTTCCACAAAAACCCAGAGGGGAAGCTTCCCTCCATGGTAGTTTGATATTTACCCCTATCACTAATACAATACCCAATTTAAAAATGTTTTTAGAAAACTTCAGCCTTACAAGTAATCCTAATAATTCATTAGCTCAACACATCATGGCAATTCATTTTGGATGTAAATCTTCATATCCATTTCTTACCAAGATGATTGAAAAGTATTATGGAATTAGACTTTACAAATGTAACAGAAGTATACTTATTAGTGAGCTTCCTGATCATATATACTACACTCAGAGTTTTGGAATAACTTACCAAGTGTACAGAACCGTCTATGCCATGGCACATGCTCTACATGAGATGCAATTATTTACATCCAGGAAACAAAACACAAGCGTTACAAGTCATAGACATATACTGAAGGTAAGGTGATATGCAGGGTCCAGTATACTGACACTGATTCAATTCAGAGTAATAGAAGTTGTAATGCTGGCTGTATTGGTGAAGCTCATACACTGTATTTAATGCTTAAAAAAGGAACTTTACCCATATCTTTAAAATACCAAAAAACACACCTTTAGAAATGTTTAGTCATGACAATCTACAAACAAATACTTAGATAATTGCTTTGTATTCTTTGCATACCTTTTTTCTCTTTTCTTTCCCAGTCTTCTGACAGTGGCCATGTTAACTAAGGGCAGGTTACTAGATCTCCCTTTACTTCCGGGTAATCTGGCACATGTGACCATGCACATCATCTCAGGGAAGGAAAATCTTTTCCCTGAGATCTTGTGCAATTTCAGATGAGATTTGTCAGTAATGCTCTGCTGATGTAATCTTCCCAGGATGCAATGCTTTAGCACATTACATGATTTGTGCCAGAACTGGACCTAGAAGTAGATGAACTGTATTTGTAAGTAAATGAAAAACAAGTTTGTTTAACTAATTCATGTAAGATGATTTCATGTCAGCATGCCGAGCTGCATGCTGATGTTATTTTTAGTGAAAGGGGGTAAAGCTCCATTTTAAGGTGTAATTTGTGGGAAATGGGACAATGTTATTTCCAATAAAGCTTGAATGTTTTTTTTTGCATTATATATGAAGTGGTGTTGGGTTAGAACCTTTGTAAGGTGTTACATGCGGCTTTCTACTTCTTTGAGAAGTAACCCCCATGCTTTCTGTTCTGTCTTCTGTTCATCACTTGCTGAGTTGCTGTGTCATTACAGACTGTGCTGTGAGAATGGAAAACTGAACAAAGGGGGAATAGACACGACACCCCCAATAGTGTATGTCATAGAAGCCATTCTGATGCAGTGTGAAACCAGCTACAACAGCACTTTACAGGGAAGGAATACAGAGTATTTACAACAAATACATGGATTTCAGTAATAAAGGGTTTGAATTACAAAAATATTAACTCATCTAAAAATATTAAAATGAAGGTGTCCAGAGTTGGGCTTTAATCTATTAACCTATTAAAGGTATCAGACCCATTAGATTAGAGAAATTATTATTAGATAGGGAGCCACTTGTAACTTTGCTGATCTACTACTGGAAGCAGAGGGTTGTAGACAACAGACTAAACAAAATATACTTGTTAATTGTTCCAGTATTATTTAAGAAGGGTTAATTTCCAAGATCCCACTGGAGAAAAAGTGTATTTTAATGAAAAAGGAGAGATGATCCCATTCTATTACATTTATAATTATGCCGTGCTCACTGATGGGAGATATCACGTGCAGCAAATTGGCGTATTCAATGGATTATTTCCTGAAGAGAAGAAACTGCTTATCCTCAAAGATCTAATAATCTGGAAACATGGCAAGGTCAGTGTCATTATTCCTATAACACGTTAATGCAACATGATAACTTCTATCCTCTAGCGTTATAGATGTAAGCAAACGTCACCACACACAAAGGCATCAGATTTAAGTTGAACTACACAACAACAACATCATCTCTTTGGCAGCCATATATTTACAATTACACAGGCCAGTAATCATATCTCACCTCCCAGAACGGGACCTCCATGATCTAGAATGCAAAGATATGCCAAAGGTGTATAGCAAGTGCTGTAAACTGCTATAGCCTGATGTACATGATAACAGATTAGTTTCCTAGTGCAACGCTGGAATATGGGACTATCAGACTTATTCTCTCCATGGTGAATTGCTCAGTTCCCAGACAAGTAAATGCTACATCATATAACTACCCAACTCATCGCTACAGGCGTACAATACCCTAAAACATATATTACAATGTGCAATATCGCTGCAGCCTTCAATTCAATATACCAAAATATACAACATAATATTATAATAAGAAAGGCACTGCAGACACAAAACATGCATTACATAAAATAAATAGTACTGTGAAGTTCCATGTGACAAGATGTATAATCAATGAAGATTAATCCATCCTGTAACAGCTCTAAATAAATTCTTCCAAAAAGTTCTTCACCATGAACTCCCTTTGTGTTTACCATATGGGGGGTTCCACAAGTGAGGAGAGACAGGACCGGAAGCTATGTTAGATGGAAGTCATCTGTATTAGTGCTACAGTATATGCCAATCTGTAATATAGGCATTGTTGTTTGGTGAGTCCTAGTCTGCTGGGGAGAGGTGTTTGAGCATTGGAGCACTTTGATTCACGATGAAGAGGTTGAACTTTGTGGAAGAGTTTATTTAGAACTGTTACCGGATGGATTAATCTTCATTGATTATACATCTTGTCACATGGACTTTCACATTGGTGTTTATTTTATGTCATGTATATTTTGTGTCCGCAGCTCCTTTCTCATTATAATATTGTGTTGCAAATACTACAGCATGCCTTGTCCTATGCAATTTCTGGCTTTCAAAAAGTCTGCAGTCACATCTTTTTCGCCCTGAGGAAGGGACCTTGTGTAGCCCCAAAACGTTGGCATTGTTATTGTGACGATTTGTCCAATTAAATGGACATATTGAATGATATGAGTGCTGTTGATTCCTGTCTTTTGCCTTGTGTCTGCAAGGCACCATCCATGGTCATAACTGCCAGCACCACTGTTGCATAGGTCGGGAATGTTGTGAGGTGTGCGGAGGGTTCTTCCATCTACCTGCATTTACATAGGGTCTTCAAGGGGCACATTAAGGAGACAGGATGGCACGGTGAAAGTAGGATGTGAGTAATTATGAGGCTCTATAATTTAATTATGTCATGTACACTACTACTACTCCATGTCCAGAAAGTAAGGAAGCGGGTCAGGTTTAAGCACATAGCTGATGAGGTCATAAATCAGAAGTTATCTCACATTACTCTTAGTGAGACCCATACTTGGGGTCTAATATCAGGGGTCTGCTTTCTAAGTAGAACCCTATGCTGCAAATTACTTATGGTGAAATATCCTTCCCCTAGCCTATGAGCAAAAGGATTACAACTCTTTATATAGTAACTCTATATAGATTGTTTTCCACATTATTAAACGACAAATCCTGTTTAGACAATTACAATAAACTTGGACCGCCCAGCAGTCTTTAAAAATAAAAAAAAATCAGCTTTGGCAGCGATACTCACCACCTGTTCCCCTCAACCTCACCCACCTGGGGATCCAGCATGACTTATCTTCTGAGATGAATAACATCCAGTGTCATATAACTCACTTCTTGTCTGCCTGGCTCTGCTTTTGCATTATTTAGGAACCATTACCCACCAGAGAAAGAAGAGGGTGAAAGCGCCTGTGACATCACCGGACTGAGGACACCTAGAACTAGGGCAAATTTAAGTCACTCCAAAGGGGACAAATAGGGAAGGGTGGGGGGATCTCTTTAAGCACATCATGATTATTACAGTATTATTACACTTTCTACAATTAGTGTTTATGCACTTTTCTGCTGGTTTTGTTTCTCATGTAGGTTCCTGTGTCTACGTGCTCTGAAGACTGTCCTCCAGGATATAGAAGTGTCATGAAGAGGGGAATCCATCGGTGCTGCTTTGAATGTTTGCAGTGTTCAGATGGAGAAATATCTAATGAGACAGGTGTACATTCTTTACTGATTTATCTCACACATTATGAAATGTTTGTATCACAATGTCAGATAGACAGGAGTAAATATTGTTAAATACATTCCATCAGAAGTTGATCAGAAGCATTGCTGTGATCTGCTTTGCCAGGTTCCGATATTCCTGGAACTAATCAGCTAATTATTATCCACTTATCAATGGAAGCTGTTTTGTTGAATTTTGTCTTCTGCTTCCTTACTTTTATTATTTGTATAGTTTTATAAGGTCTAGGATCCCTCAATAATCAGCCAGGCACCGCAGACATGTGGGCTGATATCTACATGGTTGGAGAACTGCATTGGGCTTTCTGATGTGTTTACCAATTAGACGAAAATGAGATCTGATTGAAATAACTGTTTTTGCATCATAAGCAGCAGAGTTAAGAATAATGATACTGTACTTGTAGGCAAATCTGGATACATGTTTGAGGATCTGATATGTGACATATGTTGTATGACAAGGGGTGACTGTATTAACAGACTGGCCAAATGTCTGAACATTTATTCAAGCATTAAAGTGCATTTATAGCCCCAGCTTTTTTTTTCTCTAATTTGGGATGGAGTTGAGAAAGGCTGCTATCTGGAGATTTCCCCTTGTTTCTTGTCCTGTTGACACTTTTTATTTCAAATGATGGGATGCAAATGTATTGTGAAGAACAGCATCACAGGAATATAAACTGATGTTTGACGATTTTACAGTGTCCCTCTTTTTAACCAGTTGACATCCGCGGTGTTAAACCCCCTTCCCATCCAGGCCATTTTTCAGTATTCAGCGCTGCGGTACTTTAACTGACATTTATTCCGTCATGCAGCGCTGTACTGAAATGAATTTTATACCCTTATCTATGTTGCCTTATAAAAGAGGCCCTGAAAGGCCACCAAAACATTGGTATATATGTCCATGATGCTGTTCTTCACAAAACATTTGTGAGAAACAATTATGTATCTGGAGAACTGGTGACTTTGCATCTCTTGATTTGGTTTTACCAGACTAGAAAAATTGCAACAGGGAAACAGACATCAATCAAAGGCTCATAGGGGTTCTATCATTCCCATAATAACTTAGTAAAATAACTTCTGTTTGTGTTGCTGTTGGTGAGTTATCCTTACTTGCTGTCTGATAAAGCTGTGTCACCAGAACAGGGAATAAGTAGAAATCTCGGGAATGGAGCACCAGATAGCAGACTTACTTATGAGTAATGTATATTTTTGCCCATCCAATTTAGCTTTATTTTCTTCAGCTTGCATCAGGTGTTAGAGGTCACTTGCAGTTGACAGTTAAAGTGACATTAAACCCTCAGATTTTTTAACATAAAACAATACTGTAATGTGCGCCTTACTGTAATCCATGGTAGTTTCCCTTCTCTTTGCTGCTCTTCCTTTTAAATATGTATCTGTTCTCATGCTTGGAGAGAACTTCCCTTTTCAGCAGACTGCCTTGTCTCACACGGTGTCTGTGTAAAGGCTGTAACCTGAGCCAGCACTACAGGAAGAGGCCCTGAGCTGAAAAGGGAAGTTCTCTCCAAGCATGAGAACAGATACAGATTTAAAAGGAAGAGCAGCAAAGAAAAGGAAAACAACCATGGATTACAGTAAGGCACACATTACACTATTGTTTTATGTTAAAAAATCTGAGGGTTTAATGTCACTTTAAAGCTCTTTCAAATGGCAGACCTCCCATATAGTACACTCAGAAGCTAGGAACAGTATGTGATGGTACACAGTTTGACACAGTACCACATAAACGCTTAGTACACAAGCTAAGGTCTATGGGCATAGATTAAATGGTGTACATGGATAGAGAACTGGCTACAGGAACGTGTCCAGAGAATATCGATAAATGGCTCCTTTTCAGATTGGTCTAGGGTTATGAGTAGCGTGCCCCAGGATTCTGTGCTAGGCCCAATACTATTCAATCAGTTTATTAACGACATCGGGGAGGGCGTGAATAGCCATGTTTCTGTGTTTGCTGATGATACTAGAATTGGGAGGGTAATGGACACGGACTTAGACACTATAACACTGCAGGAGGACTTGGATAAAATAGGGGAGTGGGCAACTATATGGCAGATGAGGTTTAATGATGATAAATGTAAAGTAATGCACTTTGGGGTTAAAAATAGGCAAGAGGAATACACATTAATGGGAACTCCACTAGGGAAGTCAGAAATGGAAAAAGATTTGGGGGGTCATAGTAGACCACAGATTGAACAATAGCAAGCAATGCCAGGCTGTGGTAAACAAAGCAAGCAGAGTACTGTCCTGTATTAAAAAGGGAATGTACTGTATGGACAAATCTATAATTTTGCCTCTGCATAGATCACGTGTTCGGCCTCATCTGGAGTATGCAGTCCAGTTTACTGTTACTAAATCTAAACATGTTCATGCTAGAAGTGAGGAGATTAGGGGGGGGGGGGCATGATTTTGATGTACAAGATGTTCAATGGTGATATCAACAAAAAAAAGCATTTGGACAACTTCCTCTGAGACCGCAACATACAGGGGTACCGGTACCCTTAAAAACAAGATAACACAGGGACTCGTACACACGCATACACATGCAGGATCACATACATACACGCAATAGGTTGAACTTGATGGACCTCAATAACATGTAACTATGTAACTTTGTAACTATGGTAGATAACAGGTCAGAAACTACCAAACTTAGACGACTTATAACCCCTGATTGCCTTAATAATGACATTTCCCATATTTCTGCGCTGACCGCTTCCATGCAATCTTTTATATCTAGACAAAGGATCATGCCATAAGTGTCCAGAAGACCAGTGGCCAAATGACAGCAACACGTGTCATCCAAAACCCGTGGAATATCTGTCCTACCAGAATGATACAATAACTCTTCTGATTTCCATCATCTCTGTGATTCTTTTTCTAAAAACTTCTACTATCTTGGGAATCTTTATTGCATTTCGGGACACTGCATTGGTCAGAGCTAATAACCAAAACCTGAGCTTCATACTTCTGGTTTCCATTATGTTGGGTTTCATCTGTGTGTTTTTGTTTTTGGGCCGCCCAGTACACACAACATGTATGCTGCGTCAGACATCATTTGCAATCATCTTCTCTGTTGCTATCTCCTCTATTTTGGCCAAGACTATCATGGTCTACTCAGCCTTCAAAGCCACCAAACCCGGAAGTCCCTGGAGGAAATTTATTGGAGTAAAAATCCCCAATTGTGTGGTTTTCCTTTGTTCTTTCTTTCAGGTTTTAATTAGTATCACTTGGTTATCTTATTCTCCTCCATTCCCAGAAAGAAACACCCACTTGTATGTTGACAAAATTATCATTCAGTGTAATGAAGGATCTGCGGTGGCATTTTCCATCCTCCTGGGTTACATGGGACTTCTAGCAGCTGTGACTTTCATTGTGGCTTTCCTGGCCAGAAATTTACCAGATAGTTTCAATGAAGCCAAATACATCACCTTCAGCATGCTGGTGTTCTGCAGCGTCTGGATCGCTTTTATCCCAGCTTATATGAGCGTTACAGGAAAGAACACTGTGCTTGTAGAGATATTTGCTATACTATCTTCTACTGTTGGCATTTTGGGTTGTATATTTTTTCCAAAATGTTACATTATATTGCTGAGGCCAGATTTAAACTCCAAAAGTAACTTACTAAAACAAAGACATCAGAAATAACTTTGATCAATTTAAATTAATATAAAATGGCATGAATTGTCCTTTTATGTAGCATTTAGACTAGCAATCTATTTTTGTTGAGAAAAAGAACTTTGTTGCCACTGTTGGTACTCAAATTTATTTATATACTCCGAAAATTGGCTCCTAGATATCTGTCCCTCACCCCTACGTTAATGTGTATGGGGTACACATGGCCAACATAGGAAGAACACCAATGTTACTCATTCACAAGAAAAACATAAAATAAAATAGCATATAAACACTAAGCTGTGTACAGTATATTGTGTATATTTGTTCTTTTTTTTTTTCAAAAAAGAAAATAAGAAATCTAATTATGTAAAAAATGCTACACTAAAAAATTATGATGGCAGGTGGAAAAATGTTAACGCGGGAAATGACCTGGCCATGAACTAGAGAAATTAGGCTTTTTTTTCGCTATCTAGTATGAAAGCAATTCAAGAGTAGGGATGAGCCTTGGTTCAGTTCAAAGACCTTTCATCAACCCATCATAAAGTCTGAATATTGCAAACTTAAATCTAAACCCCACTGACATCTATAGGGGGTGAATCTTGGAAATATGTTCTGGCCATTTTCAAGGCTAATAGGCAAGAGATTGTCAAACAAAAGGTACCAAAGCAAAAATACATTACAAAATACCATTCTGTGCAGAGATGGTTCTGCTTTCTGTACAAATTTGAGGGCAACATGAGACGAAAACCAATCTGCATAATTACATACTTGGGAGATGCCTTTAAACTGTATTTGGTGTTAATAATATTTTCAGGGACAACATCAATGACACTTTACTCTTGCATAAGATATTTAGCATGTGTAATAGATTTATATAGTTATTGCTAAGCCTGATGAAGGGGACCCTGCGTGGCCCCGAATGCGCTAGTTTTGGTGACATGACGTTCCAGTAAACAAACTCTTTGGACTGCAATACTGGTTGTGTGCTGGTGACATTTATTCATCTTTATTCTCATAGAGGTCTCCTAGAGTGTTAATCTCTCATGTTTTCCACTCTGATTGAATATGTGTATTAAAAACGTTAATCAAACTTAATAAGTCCACAGCTTATCTGTGTCATCAGCCCACCAATACTTTATTAGGTTAATAAGAGTTGCTTCATAGTAAGAATACAAAATGGGAATTCCCAAACCTCCATGTCCCTTACGTTTAGATGAGATTGTCATCACACATCCAGGTTTTTTTATAGTTCCAAACACATTTTAGGAATAGGTAGCATTCAAAAATAATAATCTCAGTAATATAGGCATTTTGAAAAATGCTATTCAGTCTACCATTGATAGCTCATTACGTGAGATTCTTTTTAGTTCTTGGGGCTCATTAACTGAGATTCTTTTTAGTTTTTGGGGTAAATTACATGGTTGCATAGTTATTGAGGTTGAAGAGACAGGTTGACATCGAGTTGTTAAGAAATTGTTAAGATCATAAATCTGTATGCCCAGGTAGTTCCCCATGTGTTAGGATACCTTGTTTGTAGATAACTCTTAAAGGCAGTGGGAATATAATAGCCCACAATCTGAGATTTAGAAGCCCACAATAGCCTACAATCTAGGATTGGACTCTGGAATAAGAAACTTTGCCACAGGCCTCTAAAGTAGGTTGGATATGTTTAAGCAAATTATGAAAATCAGTAGCCATAGTACAATATAATCCACAAATAATATAATTCCCTTATTGTGCTGGTTATCCCTAATGCTTTGCGTGTAATAGTTTATAATCATTGTGAATGTAATAGGAGATAAGGGATAGTCCTGCCTGGTACCATTGGTCATAGTAAAGGAATCTGATAGCATTCTCTTGGGCTAGACCCTAGTACAGGGTTCAAAATTTCCACTCGGCTGCTCGCATTTGGCGAGTAAAAATAAGGTGAGGGCGAGTGGAAATTTGGGTCTCCAAGTACCAAATTGGGTCCGCAGGCCAACTCCGGCCCGTGAGCCGGTACTATGTGGCCCTCAGCCAGGTGCCATGTCAGTCACATGGTCGCAGACCGCATACCTGACTTGCGGGAGCAGCTCCACGGTCTGCATCTGTGTCGGATGCAGACTGCAGAGCAGCTCCTGTCAGCTCTGGCTTCCTTCGGCCGGAGCTCTGACAGTTTTGAGCTCCGGCCGAAAGGATGTATGTGAGGAGGATCGATCCCTGGTTATCTTCCGCAGACCTCACTAATCACACCAGATAACCAGGGATCGACCAGGGATTACATTCTCGTATGATCTGCCCATCTTGGACGTTGTTGAGAAGTGTATTATTGTGTTTTAAGCTGCCATACACCTTACAACCATCGCACAACTTTCGTTATGCTATGGTTGTAAGGTTGTGAGGTCATTAAAATCTCATACAATCTGCCCATCTTGGACAGGCAGATCGTACTTGCGATGATTGCAGTGCTGAGCGGGCAGTGTGCGGCATTCGTCTTCTGACCATGCCACCAACCTGCCAAAAGGTTTTCCAGCGTGCTTGGAAGACGAAAGTCGTACAACCTTACAGTAGAAGCGGTCGCACACTGCCCATACACCTGCCGATTACCGTACGATCGCGGGATCACCAGCAATTATCGTACGATAATCGGCAGGTGTATGGACACCTTTAGTGTATGTGTATATTAGGCCCCATTCACACCTACAGTATATTTCAGGCCTGTGTCAGGAACTTGCTTTTCCTGTAGCAGGAATCCCTAATCTGCCGTTTACAAGCGGCAACTATCATAAGATAAGAATTATCATAAGATTATTTAAGAGGGTGTGTTTAAGGGCGGAGTTAAGGCCGCGGCAGGGTAAGGGTTAGGCGGGGCAACTGGTGGCTAGTAACTCTTAAGGCCTGGCTAGTAGCTCAGGACTTAAATTTTTGAGCCCTGCCCTACTACACAGGTAATTATATAGAAATAAAATAGTGGAACATTCCTAAAAAAACTAATTTCTCCAGAACTTGACTTATAAAAAGCCAATGCACTCCATCAAATGCTTTTCCTGCTTATAAGCAGGCAAGGTTCCTTTTTTTTATAGTTAAGCAAATTTAACAGTCTTCTGATACCATCTTGGGTATATAGTTGGGAGAACGTTCAACTTGCTTCGGCTGCAGGAAGCCTTCGGTTTAGCCGAAAGGAAGCACAGTAGCCCGTACAGCTGTCACAGACTTACCCGGCGTGTCCCTGTGCTCCAGTGACGTGTCGTCTCGTCGGTGACGTCACGCCGGCTCCGCCCATGGGGAGCGGCGCCACGGGTAAAAGGTCAGCTTGTTCGGCACTCGGCGTTCTCTCGTTGTGGAGTGTCGAGTGACGAACAGAGAACCTGCAGGCGTTGAGAGCTGTGACTTTGCAGATACCTCGCACTCTCCCCGAAATAGCAGACGAATTCAAAGTCTTCTCCCGCTGTGAGCTAAGCACTGCCGAAACTACAAACCGCAAGTATCCTGGGTCTCTGATCCAAGTGCCGCTGAAGCTGCTACATGCTCATGTGCTTGCCCAAACTTGTTGCTGTCTGTGCTGCTGTTTAACTCGCAATTAACCCATAGTGCTATAGCTGAAGTGCATGATATATCTGTCTGTGTTGCCTAACCCTGCAAGTTCCACCACAGTTGTACTGTCAGTGTCTATATTAGAGTTGCATGAGAGAGTTGTCTCAGAAGTGGAGTGGACTGTATAAGGATTCATCACCATTACCTGTACTGTTGCTCATTGCTGCTTAAAATACTGCTTAAACGAATTGCTGATAACTGCCTACTAGTACCACATTAGATACATCCTGTCATCTGTGGGAGACAGAGTTGGGTGCTGTTAACCACAACTCACTGTGGCCATTCCCCTTAGTCTACTAAGGAAGTAAATGATGAGTGCGGTCTCCCTACCGCAATTGGTGTAATAGGGAGCCGCTCACTGACCTTCCTCTTCATAAACAGATACCTCATTTGTTCCGCAGCTGAGATCCAGTTACACATCCAGTCACCTGACTAGCCTTGACAACAGCAGCCAAAGGAAACAGCAATGCCAAACGCATAAGCTTCAGCTCAGCACAGCTTGGGAGAACGGTCCATCGAACCGGCCCCAGTGTGGGACACCTCCACCCAGTGAGTGCACAAATTACAAAGGGGTGCTCCCCTGTGGACAGAGTAGGTCCCAAGTGCATTTTCCCTACTTAAGAGGGGGAGGGAAGCCCATAATACCAGAGTAAAATAGATTCTCTCAGGTCGTAGATACGCTCATCAGATCGAAAATAAAAAAGCAGAAGACACATAGTTCATACCATCTAAAAATATAAAATGTATTTGATAAAAACAGGAACTCACAAAATGGCAAGAGATAACCAGCATAAAAGATTCCCACAGGGGATTCACTCAATGTACTTGATTACAGCAGATGTAATACAACTCCTGTCCGTCCGACTCCACTGAAGTGAGCGGAGCATCTGACATCATCACTACAGTGGAGCCGGACGGACGGGAGTTGTATTACTTCTGCTGTACTCAAATACATTGAGGCAATCCTCTGAGGGATGGTTTTTATCAAATTCTTTTTATATTTTTGGATGGTACACACTATTTGATTTACTAACCTAAACACATGCATGCACGCTAAAAGTCTCTAAAAGCATATTTCCACTAATGCCATATATGGAAAAATCATGCACATGATGCATATATAATGCTGCTTCACAGTTTAGACAAAAATGGTTAGCTCATGCATTTACATTCCTACATTCATCAACGCAAGCAACACAACATAGAGCTAATTTACACAACATCACCTTGTAATTCATGCAGGGCTTTGCACAACACACCTGCTGGGTGTGTACACACTACAAATGTGTTTAGATTCCACCCATAGATCATGCTGGGAGGGAACACACTACAGAGGTGTATACATGTTCGTGGTGTGTTTATAAGGTTAGTAAATCAACCCCTATGTGTCTTCTGCTTTTTTTCGTTTCGATCTGTTGAGCTTATCTATGGCCTGAAAGAATCTATTTTACTCTAGTATTATGGACTTCCCTCCCCTCTTAAGGGAAAATGTGCTTGATACCTACTCTGTGGGTCCACAGAACCAGGTGAGCACCCCCTTTGTAATTTGTGCACTCAGTGGAGGTGAAGGATTATCAAAGAGTCTGTTGTCCTGCACATTATAAAGTCTGCTTCAGAGGACTGCTCATGCTATTTCTATTGAATTGCACTGTTGAATTCTATTTTCTATTGAATCGCACTGTTTGATTTGTTATATACACCGCGTTGTTTGATTTGTTTTAGACTTTCAAAGTATAATACTAATATGTTGCGCTTGGTATAAACAATTTTCTGAACTCAACACCCCCTAATATGTGTGAATAAATGAATAATCTGTATATCTTAATTATATCAGCCTACATGTGCAATCGCAACTGTGTATCATGTGCCAGTGAATGACTATAAACTTGTTCATACACTCCATCACAAGTGTAAATAATGAATAATAAAATAAAAAATAAATAAAAATGAAAATACAAAGTGATTAGTTCTGAGAGTGAGATTATTCTATTAATTGTATAAAGGAAACCGTGTGTGGTGATTATTCGTAAATCAGTGAGCGGCAGAGACACGAAAATCAGTTCGTCGACTAGTGTGAGATAAACAATAAAAACCGTGAAACAGTGTATTGAAGGTTCGAATCCCTCCTTATGTAAGTGTAGCAGTGTTTGTAGCATTAAATGTGACTATGTGTCATGTTTCCGCCAATGATTAATTGTGAATGATCAATCACTTTTTACTGTGGCATTTATATTATAGAAATGTGCATGTGTGGTCATATAGAGAAATTGTAGGTTAAATATGGATGGGACAGATGAGGGGGGCCTCTCCTTGCACACCTCTAGGGTGTTGGATGCATTAATTGTAATGTCGGGATCTGTAAGAGGAGTCGGCACCCGAATGTGATCCTAAACCTTGGGTATAGTCACAACCAATATCCTCAATTAAACAAAGTAGGTCAATATCCTGTAACGCAAATAATTCCTTAAGTAAAGTCGATTCTAATGTCGACATAAATCAATCAACCAGTCCTCTGCTTCACCCCAACTTTTAGATGGTGACATATGGGGGATATTGTTACTTATCTGTCCTCCTGGGTTTCTCCTAGGATTCCATGAAGAAATTAATACGTTTCAGAGGAGTCTCTTCAACGATCACTTGTAGTTATAATATATCATCCATTTCCGCACTCTGTATCTGGAAATCTGGGTTGGGCATCAATCTTTCGTTCCCCTCCGGTAAACCCCTCTTGCACAGCATAAACAGGGGTATCCGTCCACCGGGGTTTTCACAGACAGGAAAGGGGAAAAAAGAAAAAGAAAATACTCCTAAGTGCAGCGATTAAAACACATTTATTTTAAACCAAAATTTCTGCACTTACAAGAACAGAGAGTATAAAAACATTGAGTGGTAGGAGCACTCAGCCATACGAGCACAATGGTCTATAGGAGACAGAGCCAATCTTGCCCTTGACGCGTTTCTGTGTTTCTGTACTTTTTCAAAAGGGTATTGTGTGCCCGTCTCCCACCGGAACTTATATTAAACAATTAGTCAATCTATCCTTCACTTACAGCACTGACACTTCCCACCTGTGATGCCGGTGGTATGTGTCCCACATATTAGCATAATCATCAAAAAAAGGGGGAAATACCGTATATACTCGAGTATAAGCCGTCCCGAATATAAGCCGAGGTACCTACTTTTACCACAAATGTCACAGAATGATCAGAGGATTTGTATATACAGACATCAAAAGTGATATATCGCAATCCTTCACTAACATGTGTTAAAATATTTATTAAAAATTAAGTATACTTTTAGATTCATAAAATTGAAAAATCTATAAATTCTAAAACAAATGATTAAAAAGACACTCTTTAAAATGTTACCACCACATAGAATTTTCTGAGGAAATAGGGTTAAGGAAGGAATATTAAGAGAATTGGGGATGCTTTAATTATGCGGGGTGCTTAGTCACGAAGTCTCACTCACATCTTAGGGTGCGCCCCACCCATCTAATTTGGAATAGGTCCTATCTAAGGTGACCTACAGCGTCACTGGTATATCTTTTAGCAATCGTAGAGGTCTGATATCCTCTGTAAACCCTTTAGGCATATTTAAATTGCTTCAAATTGTCCTTTCCTTTATGCTCAGTGAACATGTCCCCTAGGTTAAGGTCAATCTCTGTAGTTCAATATCTATAAAAGGACTAACAAACCAATTTGTGCTAGCCATTTTTCTTATTTTAGAGCATCAGGGTCTATCTAGATTTATCAAAGTATATATAGATTACAACTGTCCCTATCTTTCATTGAGCACCTATGGGGCATGTTGTTACGGTCTAAGGTTATCTCTTGGGGGAGAGGATGATGTTTGTTCTATGTACCTCCTCTAAAGTCCCTCTATAAATCCATTTAAGGGGGCAGACTTAGTCATCAGCTAAAAAACTATTTAGATCCAGCTCTACATTCAAACCCTTTGGAGTCATGGTTTCCATAATACATTTGCGAGGCTTGGAGCGAATTTCGCCCCCATCGCCACGCATTTAATTTGGGTATAATATTCTCCTTTGTACCAAAAATAGTTGTTTCTAAGTGAAAAATCCATATCAAAACTATAAGACAGGACACCTCCAGGAATTTTTTAGGGGTACAGACCAGAGAGAGAGCCCCGCAGTGGAGGGAACCACACCAAAGGGGACACAACGAATACACCCCACCCAAATGGAGATACAAAAGAAGAGACCAACAAGGTCAACAATCGTGGAACCAGGGGAGATTTTATACCCCACCCCAACAACCATTGGGGTACAGATGGAGAGGAAGACGAAATTTTGCAAGAGGTGGACGAGAGGAGGAAAGAGAGTACGGAGGAGAAAAAAGATGGGAGAAGGAATCTTTAACCTGAGTTCAGCCATTCTTACTCTGGAAGAGATCCACGTATTAGATTTGGGCCTAAAATTTGGACCCATAAAAAGTTCGGCACCTATATGGATTTAAAATAAATTAAAGTTTGCACGAAAACTAAATATTAAGAGACACTTTGACCTGGGATTCCCGATAATGAAAAAGAAATGCGAGAAAGATTTAAACATTCTACGTTAATGAACAAATCCATTTTTGATCCCAATACTAGATCAAATCATCACATTGAGGTATTCAAAGTTATGGTTGAAGAAGAGTTGAGAGGGTTAAAGATAAAACACAAAAAAAATAGAAGCTACATCGATAAAGGATTGAAACTTTTAGAAGAAAAGAAAGAAATCGTGATCCGTTCCGCAGATAAAGGGGGAGGGGTAGTTCTACTTGATAAGATCTACTATGACGAGGAAATGGCAAATATTTTAGGAGATCAAGAGACATATAACCAATTGAAGAAAAATCCAACAATAGATATCAAGATACAATGGAAACAACTATTAAAAGATGGATTAAAAAGAAGGATTCTAAATAAAAAAGAATACAAATACCCGTTACTCACAGTGGGGAGAGTACTGGTGATATATTTTTTGCCCAAAATACATAAAAATCCAACAAAACCACCCGGAAGACCGATAGTTAGCAGAACAGGTTCGCTAATATCACACTTAGGCGAATACATAGATTGGTTTTTGCAATCGTTAGTGAGATGTACCAGAGCCTACCTTAGAGATAGTGGGGATATTATCAACACACTTTCAACCATGAGATACGAAGAAGATACAATTCTAGCAACCATGGATGTACTATCCCTCTATACTAATATACCACACATGAAGGAATTAAAAGCTTTCCAGACTAGAAGATACACAGATTGCCTTTTTCATCAAATTCACTGATTTTTCACTTAGAAACAACTATTTTTGGTACAAAGGAGACTATTATATCCAAATTATAGGTGTGGCAATGGGGGCGAAATTCGCTCCAAGCCTTGCAAATTTACTTATGGCCAAATGGGAGGAGAGTGCAATTTATGAACATAAATGGCTTGAACTACAGTTATGGAAGAGGTTCATAGATGATGTGGTTGTAATTTGGAATGGAAGTACAACCTCCTTTGAAGAGTTCTTCAAATATCTCAACTCCAACAAGGAGGGAATCAGCTTCACCTATAACTACAGCAAGGAGAACATTAACTTCCTGGATTTGATCATACAAGGGAAAGAAGATAAAATAACCACTAGAACCTATTTTAAATCTACTGACCGGAATGGGTACATACCGATAGGCAGTTTTCATCACCCATCGTGGCTTAGAGGAATCCTGAAGGGTCAATTCATAAAAATGAAAAGAAATTGCACAAGAGTTGAAGATTATGATAAACAAGCATCTATGATTCAAAATAGATTTTTGGAGAAAGGCTACAACAAACAAGAGCTAGACAGAACAAAACTAAAAATATAAGACTTAGATAGAAAAGAGATGTTACAGCCTATGACACGAAAACATAAAGAAGATCAGCAAATCTTGTTCATTACAAACGTCTCCACCCAATATAAAGAGGTTGAACACATTCTCCAGAAGCAATGGCCTATTTTAATAAAAGACAAAATTTTAATACCACTGATCCAGAAAAGGCCTAAAGTGGTATACAGAAAAGCCCCTAATGTCAAAGCCTTATTAGTACACAATATAATAGACCCCCCTAAGAAAAATGTCTTGTTTTTCCATGGAAAAGGTTTCTATCCGTGTGGAAAATGCGGAATTACGTTTACAGGACTAGACAAAATAAAAAAAACACTGGAGAGGGAACCATATGGGAGGGAGGTCTCTAAGAATGAGACAAAATGGATTTTCCTAATGGAAACCATGACTCCAAAGGGTTTGAATGTAGAGCTGGATCTAAATAGTTTTTTAGCTGATGACTAATTCTGCCCCCTTAAATGGATTTATAGAGGGACTTTAGAGGAGGTTCATAGAACAAACATCATCCTCTCCCCCAAGAGATAACCTTAGACCGTAACAACATGCCCCATAGGTGCTCAATGAAAGTTAGGGACAGTTGTAATCTATATATACTTTGATAAATCTAGATAGACCCTGATGCTCTAAAATAAGAAAAATGGCTAGCACAAATTGGTTTGTTAGTCCTTTTATAGATATTGAACTACAGAGATTGACCTTAACCTAGGGGACATGCTCACTGAGCATAAAGGAAAGGACACTTTGAAGTGATTGAAATATGCCTAAAGGGTTTACAGAGGATATCAGACCTCTACGATTGCTAAAAGATATACCAGTGATGCTGTAGGTCACCTTAGATAGGACAGTATTCCAAATTAGATGGGTGGGGTGCACCCTAAGATGTGAGTGAGACTTTGTGACTAAGCACCCCGCATAATTAAAGCATCCCCCAATTCTCTCAATATTCCTTCCTGAACCCTATTTCCTAAGAAAATAATACACATTGTAATATAGGATAGAATATAAAATAATACCAATAATTAGTGAAGAATTGCAATATATCACTTTTGACGTCCGTATATACAAATCCTCTGATCATTCTGCCACATTTATTTTCCCCTTTTTTTGATGATTATGCTAATATGTGGGGCACATACCACCGGCATCACAGGTGGGAAGTGTCAGTGCTGTAAGTGAAGGATAGATTGACTAATTGTTTAATATAAGTTCTGGTGGGAGACGGGCACACAATACCCTTTTGAAAAGTCCAGAAACGCCGAAATGCGTCAAGTGCAAGATTGGCTCCGTCTCCTATAGACCATTGTGCTCGTATGACTGAGTGCTCCTACCACTCAATGTTTTTATACTCTCTGTTCTTGTAAGTGCAGAAATTTTCGTTTAAAATAAGTGTGTTTTAATCACTGCACTTAGGAGTCTTTTCTTTTTCTTTTTTCCCCTTTCCTGTCTGTGAAAACCCCGGTGGACAGATACCGCTGTTTATGTGGTGCAAGAGGGGTTAACCGGAACGAAAAAGATTGAAGCCCAACCCGACTTTCCAGATAAAGAGTGCGGAAATGGATGATATATTATAACTACAAGTTATCATTGAAGAGACTCCTCTGAAACGTATTAATTTCTTCATGGAATCCTAGGAGAAACCCAGGAGGACAGATAAGTAACAATATCCCCATACGATGCTATCTAAAAGTTGGGGTGAAGCAGAGGACTGGTTGATTGATTTATGTCAACATTAGAATCAACTTTACGTGAGGAATTATTTGC